CAAGTTGAATAATAAGTAGGCAAAAATGCNCCATTCTGAAAATATCACTGAAGTAAAACAGACAACATTTAAACTGAAATGCACTTGGCTTGGATTTTCATAACTAATAATAAATAAAACAATCCAAATTCAAAGCAAAATAAAGTTGGTTCTCTCAGGTACCGTGTAAGTTTACAACAGCGACGTTTCACTTACAATGCCTTCTTCGAGGAACTGCGATGGGTCTGTAACAGATTTGTAGTCTCACGTCCGAATGAAGTGAATTAATAGTTGCCAGGTTAGAGACTGGGGTTTTTCCCAGGGGGTTTTCCCTCGAACTTTGGAAACCTGGATTCTGTTCTAATTTGAGCATATTTGGGTATTTGTACTAGCTGCGCGCGCCGTCAAGTGACGTTCCCGTTCTCTTGCTAAAGCCTGGTTTTCATATGTCGGGAAAATCCCAGACGGTCTGGGATTTTATTGTTTCCCGACCGTCCCAGATTTTGCCGACTAATGAAAACTAGAAATCGTAGATATCCCCGATCGTCTGGGATGAATGGGGACAAATCTGGAGAATCGGGAGCGTTCCTATTTTCCCGACGCGTCCCAGATTTCCGCGATGGTCGGCGATCATTCCCGACAAATGAAAACTCAAATTTGTACCGTCGGGGACGTCAGCGTCCGTCGGCGATGGATTTCGCTCGTTACCAATCCCCTAAATTGCTGGGCTCCAGACCCCCTATCACAAATAAACATGGCGTTTCTCGAAAACACGAGTGAAATCGGGAAAATCTGGGACAGACCCCTGGCTAATATCCGATATATCGGCAAAATCTGGGATGGTCGGCAAAAAGTAAAATCCCCGATCGTCTGGGATTTTCCCGACATCTGAAAACCAGGCTTAAATCAGCCTATTGTAAATAAAGAACCTTTGATCGTGGACGTAATTTTCCCTAGGCCTTTTAGGTTCAAAAACGTTTGACATTCAATCTAGGGGTTTTTCCCTTGGTGTTTATTTCCATTCCTTAACATAGAGAAAGCTTTTCTGTCGTTGCAATTTACGGTCTGGGGAAACTAAGAGCGGAATATATTTTCTTGCCTTGGCTGGACACCGTAAATTTTTGTCGGAGGAATTAATAGAATAGTCAGGCAGATGCTGAGTGGTGAACAGTATCAGTTCGGATAATTGCGAAACAACTGACGTAAATAGACAGGAAGCGTAATCAGATCCGGGAAAGTCCCGCTCTCGAGAAAGTCCCGTTCACGAGAAAATACCGTTCACGGGGAAGTCCCGCATTCTTTAAAATAATAGAAAACTACTTTATGGGTGCATTATAGTTACTTCGCCATTTCGTGGTCGCCGACAAAGCGTCACTTCGGTTTCTTCAGGTTGCAAAAATATTCCACAGTAGATATTATGCAAGCAAGGACAGATGAAGCGACAATGGAAGAACATGCAGAAATTGCCGAGCGGCCTGAGGCTGAGGCTGATATACGTAAAGGGTAGGCTTACATTGTTCTTTCATAGACTCGGTAGTTTTGCTTAAACAGTATTTTAGTTTTGGCCCGATCAGCGAGTTTCGATGAGGTCTGAAGGTGGAAATACATATATGCATGTACTGGGTTTTCAGACTAACCAAGGGAAGCAGGCATAAAATCATGCATTCAGATGCAACCAGATGTGAGTACGACGCAACCAGTCAGTTTTTGGTCACCACATGTGCAAAATGGCTGGCGTATCGCCGGTGCATGTTGCCGAACGGTTTGCTCTGTGTAATAAATAGAATATTGCTGTGTTTGGTACTGCTTCCTCACATCCTACTCCATCATTCAACTTTGGAATTTTTGCGTACAACGTTTTGGGGTACATTCAGTTCAAGGAAAGGCAAACAGTTCCACTAGCAATTGCGCACAGTGTTGCACTTCATGCCTGATCTTTGGTCCAATCTCACCTTAGGCAGTTTAAAGGCCTTGCGTTTATCGTAACACGTTTATCCCTTTGCTTTCTTAGCGACTCGTACATGTGTCACCACTACGAACGAGACACTTGCCTGATTCACTTCAAATGCTGCCCTGAAGAGTTTTGGTTCGCCTGCCACAAATGTCACAATGAGGCTCTGGGCTTGGTTGAGGACCTTGAAGAAAAAGGACGAGAGAATGAGGAACCCGCAATTGATCATTCAGACGATAATTACACGCAGGCGACTAGTATCTCAGGGGAAATGGAGAATAGTTCCAACCAGGCTGAAACTATCAGTGAACTCGAAGGTACCATTGGCAATAAAAACCATAGCCAATGTGATATAAAATCAACCGATTTATTGCTAGTGACCGTTTGGTGGCACGATTGACTCATCATTTATCAAATAATCACAATAATCAATTTCCTGGAAGAAAAAAAAAACGATCACATTCTATAGCCCATACAGCCAACGTCCCTGCCCTGTTTAATAGTGTGATGGCTTCTTGAAAGAGTGATTACCTTGTAAATGGCTTGGCAATCCAGACTGTAACCAATTTACTGGTTACCCATGTTGCTGTTAATAACCCCATAAGCTTTTGAATATGTGCATAGATTACAAGCGGATGTACACCTTACCTTAATTTGAAGGTGAAACGTAGCACTTCTTTCGGTCCCTCGCTCCCCTGAATGGCAAGAATCTGCCCTTCAGTCAGTAATTGAGACTGAATTAAGCCATAGACTGGTTGGAAGAGAAACAATCTTTTTAATGGTTGGCACTATCACTTACAAAGTGCTGAAGTGAAAAAGAAATCACATGTAATTTCTATTGTAACATATATAACATACCGCAAAGCATCATACCAGACCCCGATACCATGACTTCAAGCTCAAAGTAATATATGATGTTTGATGAATCAAACAGGTCTACACAATGATGCATCAACTGGTGATAAAGTGGATAGAAATGAGACTGTTACTGGTGAAACATCACATCAACCATGTAATACCGTGGAAGGAAGTAGTGAAGGAAATACTTCAGTAAATGAAACAGGTCTACAAGATGATCCATCAACTGGTGAGAAAGTGACAACCAATAAGACTCTTGCCGATGGAACATCAGACGAGCCAAGCAATGACGAAGAGGGAAGAAGCGAAAAAAACACTTCAGTGAATCAAACAGGTGTACACGATGATCCATTGACTAGTAAGATAGTGGAAAGAAATAAGACTGTTACCGGTGGAATATCACATGAAGCAAGGAATGACGACGAGGGAAGTAGAGGAGAAGTTACTGCAGTAAATGAAACAGATCTACACGATGATCCATCAACTAGTGAGAAAGTGGAAAGAAATAAGACTGTTACCGGTGGAACATCACATGAACCAAGCAATGACGAAGATGGAAGTACTGAAGAAGTTACTGCAGTAAATCAAACGGGTCTACACGATGATCCATTGACTAGTAAGATAGTGGAAAGAAGTAACACTGTTTCCGGTGGAACATCACATGAACCAAGCAATGACGACGAGGGAAGTAGTCAAGAAGTTACTGCAGTAAATCAAACGGGTGTACACGATGATCCATCGACTAGTGAGAAAGTGGAAAGAAAAAAGGCTGGTACCGATGGAGCATCTCATGAGCCAAGCAATGATGAGGAGGGAAGTAGTGCAGAAAGTGCTTCACAAGTCCCACTGGATGCAACGTCACCTTCCCCTAAAGAAATTAAGACGAGACATTCGGTGGCTACTGCAGTGGATGGAACTCGGCTCAAGTGTAAACATTGTGGAAAAAAACAAGGGGTAATATTTGATCAAACATACCTTACAGTGAAGGTTATAGTTGGTGAACTAATGACATACATTTTTTCTACAGTTTTCCCAGAACTGTGTGTCGTGTGACAAGTCTTTTGCGACCTACTTCTGTGGCAAATGCAAACTTCTCATTGAAAAGAACGTCGATCCTTACCACTGCGACGACTGCGGTATATGCAGGTATGATATCTTCCTCCACCTCACACCAGATTGAACACAAAACTGGACTTAAGTCCTCCTGCTCCTCTTCGTCATCTTTCCCTTACTTCTTTCCTCTTCTCTTATAATGATAATAATAATAATAATAATAATCATCATCATCATCATCATCATCATTATCATTATTATAATTATTATTATTATTATTATTATTATTATTATTTAAGGAGGGTTATCACCTAATAGCCAAAGGCTATAAACTTGTGGTCCTCGGAAAATAAAATTACAAACTTAATCAAAAATGAACGATACTATGAATACAAATATACAATATAATAAAAGTTAAAAACCTAAACTTATGAGAGACGCGAATAGTTGAATTACAATAATATTAAAAGCTTCCGTTAAATATAAATATAAATAGATATAAAAGCTAAATCCTAAAATGGTCTAAATGTTGTTGCGCTGCGAAGATCGTTTTAAGTAAATGAGTTTTTAGGGACTTAACGGAGTCTGATTTTCTGGTATTTAGAGGCACATTATTCCAAAGTCTTGCTGCTGATACAGCAGAAGAACGGCCTCCTTCTCTTTCTCGACCTAATTCTTGTCATCCACCGCCACCTGATCCTATCTCCGGCCTCCTTCTTGTCCTTCCTGCTGCTACTCCTCCTCCTCCTACTCCTCCTACTCCTACTCCACGTCTCCTCGTTCTCCTATTTGTCCTCCTCCTCGTCCTTCTCCTCATCCTCCTCCTGCTCCACCATCACCACCTACTCATACTTTCCCTTCTTTTTCCTTCCTCCCCTTTCTCTTCCTTATTCTCGTCCTGTTACTCTGGCCCCCTTCCGTCCTTCTGCTGCCGCTATTCCTCCTCCTCCTCCTTCTTTTCCCCACTAACCACCACCACCATCACCACAGCCACAAACCACCTACAAGTTACCCAGCGCTACTTTAAGAAAGCTGAAGTCTCATGAATGCTTGCTTCTTGGGCTTCTGCAATTGTTCTGACTATCATTTCCTAGTTTCCTTTAAATTTGATTTCATTTTTAACTTTCTGCGAATGCAAAAGCTAAATAAATGGTGTTATTCAGTTGTTGCTATAATCTTTTATTTTTTGAAGGGGAAACAAGGCAGATCACTTCCACTGTAATGTCTGTAATGTTTGCATGGCACTGTCTCTAAAGGAAAACCATAAATGTTTTGCTGACAGAGGTCGTGATAAGTGCGCAATCTGTTTAGAGGTGAGTAATTCATATTATCTCAGTTACCTCGTAAAAAGCTATACCCACTACATTCAGTTACTAATGTACATATTATTTAAAATACATTGATACTTTTTTTAAACCAGAAACATTCACAAGTTTTTTCTGTCCCACTTAGGCGGTCTTTTCAGGTGCTGTTATTCTTCCGTGTCACCACATGATTCATAAAGATTGCGCTGAAAAGCTTTTTCTCTCTGGAAGGTAAATTAAATAAGCTATTATTCCCATGCAGAGACGTTGTGTTGGGAAAATTGCTTGCTTTTGCAAAGTTTTGACTTGCCGTACTTTTGTAAATAAGTAGGTAAAACTATGAAGGATAATATCTGAAGTGTTGGAAAACAATACTTTGTAATGAAAACGGTCCTACGTAGGAATCCACTTTATTCTTCTATGTAAATCATAGTCTAACCTTTTTATATATCATTCCAAGGCCGGCTATTAAAGGAAAAGGGAAGGAAAAAGCATAAAAGAAACATATTATAATATAGTTGACGAAAAGACAGCTTTTTTTTTCAGCAATCTCCTTAGCAGATTATCATTTACCTTTAGTATAATTACTCAGGTGATAATAGAAATTCGCGCGCTCTCATTGGTCGAGAATCGCGTGATATTCCGCCATAATCACCGACTAATTCTCAAAATGACCGCTTCGCGCTTTGTCGATGTCTTTGGAGAAGAAATTACTATAATGAAAGAGAAACACCAAACATGCTACAAAGTTCGGAGCGACACTTTTCAAAGGTAAGATGTGAAAATTGTGCTAAATATAACAAAGAAACCTTTTAAGTTCCCGTGAAAATGTAGCTTATATCGACATGCATTAGTAAATCAAAACAACTATTAAATTTTCACAACACTTTATTTATTTAACAGAATGGTCTCAACAACAAACCGAATTTACCACTGACTTTAAGACAATTTTAGCCTCCTTTTTGGCTTTTCCTCAGTGGCAGAACATTTTAAAACGTGCGAAAAACACTTGCCGTTTTGACCATGTGATGTATTAAACCATGTGATCTGTGCGCGTAGTTGTTCATTGACGTAAGACAATGACAAATAAAATAAATTTGACATTTTTCGGTCGATCCTTTGTTTAGGTATTTCTATAGTCACCTGAGCAATTATACTAAAACAATTATTCGTCTCAGGCTCGTGAATATTGGTGAACATTCAACTGAAACTGCGTTGCTTTACTATGCCGTGCAATTTCGGCTCGAAACTATAAAATCGTCCAAAATTTGCCTTACATGTTGGATTATTTTAATTATTAACAACATCCAAATAAATAACTGTGGAGCTCTACTTTTAGGCTTGGCTAAATCTGTATATTATCGTCGTAAAACAAAACCACCATGAGGTGTACACGTTTTTCTTTTTATTCTTTTTTTTTTTTAGCGATTTATGTCCTACGTGCCGTAGAAAGATCTTCCAAGGGGACGACGAGGCAGTGATCGTGGAAGAGACAGCTCAGCAGACTCCTTCCATTGAAGGGACTGTTAGTTCTGTTTTCTGTCTGATAGGGCAGGAAGTATCTGCTGCAGCAATCTCTATTTTCAATCGGACCAAACGTTGCTTTAAGACAACTGGATCGTCGGGAAGAGAGATTGAAATGGCAAATTTATCAAACACCAGAAACGCCACAGTCGGAAACTTATCTTCTCGAGTAGTTTAGTACCCTGAACAGTTTTTATTTAGCTTAATTGTAATTTTATTATTTTTTAATTGTCTTTCCCAGTTTGTGGGCCAGTAACATAGCTGGTGGGGAGTGGAAGACGCATTATACCAAATATGTGAATCTTAAGACATCACTTAGGCAAACATTTTGTTACTTTTCTTACAGTATATCCACAAAATGCTTTTCACGAACGTTATCTTAATTGCGCTCCACCAAAGTTAAACGTAAAAGTTAGGCCATTCATTTTGTGGCACGCTTAGAGGAATAATAGTTTTTTGTGAAATTCAAGTGTGAATTGTTGTTCAAGATCAGTAGTGGTGTTAAAATCAAATATTACTCGGACATGAGCTATTTCTAGAGCTCCTTGGTATGTTATCGGTAATGAGGCAGAAACAACAAAATGAGGCGAAAACATTGAGCTTGAGACATAAATGACAATTTTTCGGAGTTAAGGAAGCAATGGTGCTTCAAAACGTCTATTTCCCAAGCGGAGAAGATTACAAAATAGGTGTTATTCCACTTGAGCCTGCGATAATATGTCAAGAAGGCCAGCACATTGGTGAAGACAATGCAGGATCCCTCCTAAGTTCAGGACAAAAGTGATGAAGTTAAGACATGCTTTAAGATAGGACGGTCTCCTTGTGTGCTGGTTGAGACATTAAAAGTTTGGGAGTTCGGAGTCGGAATTTTGGGAGCATGATAAGAGATCTTCGGGAATATTACGTAGTGATCTCCTGAGGCTAACATTACACCAGAGAAATTTACAAACGAAGCTTTATTTCTTTGATCCACACTTATCCGTCACGAAAACGGAGAAATTGGAAAACGATGACTTGCGATAATCATGTGATTTCATCGTCCGAGTTTCCCTCAAACACAAATCCAAAATTGCGCATTTATAGTGTGGACGAAAAACATTTGATGAATTTCCAGAATTGAAACGTCGTTTTCAAAGTTCTCCGGCGTAATGTGCACGAGGCCTAAGACTTGCGTGAAGAGGCTCTTATGACTTAGGATAATTTCGTAAATATGGACCCAGTCGCGCAATATTTTTACAGTTAATGCCTGGAATTTAGCTGCCGATAGTTTCCAGCACTTTCCTGCACTTATACCGTTAAGATCCGAAGGAAACAACTTCTCTCCCACGAGGAATATAACAGCCCTTCGAAAATAGTGATTGTTTTTAAGGACTGTTGATGAACTGTAAAAGTAGCGAGGCTCCAACATTGAAGTAATGACACTCCGAAAATAGCGATCTCAAGTGTAATTTGACTTTCTGGAAAATAAATGCGAGAAATAAATTAAAAGATACAAAAAAAAAAAAAGAAAAAAAAGAAAGAAACCCATTATTTTGCCCTGTTGCGACGCAATTATACAGTTGAACCTCGTTGTCTCCAACTCAAATCATTTTCCCTTGGACATTTGTTTTCATCCATTTACTATTTTTCGTTTCCCTTAATAACTCAAGATATGCTAAGATAACAGGCTTCAACTGTAGTAAGACGGATCGACTCGGATTAAGAACAAGTTTTCGTAGAAACCACCCACCATAACGGCAACGGAGTTTCTCGGTTTTAAGAAGATGCTGCATGGAATCGGGGTCTAATTAAATTTTGGCGTTAACAAGTTATTCATGAGTCCCACTTGTTTGATATTGACTCTCGACAAATGTAGTGGCCGGAGCAAGCTACAAGATGAGAGAGTGAGTGAGTGGGTGAATGACGATGAGTGAGGAACAGAGGGACATTCAGTTGGCACTCACTAAAAAGAGAGATGGAGTAAAGTTAACTGGAATCGGTGCTAATCTAGAATAAAGGTGATACCTCTTTATGAACCGTACTAGGATTCGCCTTTACGTTCGTCATCTTCAGTTGAGCCCACCTTAAGCTCAAAGAATATTTCAACCGACGATTTAGTTTGGCTATGCTGACGTTACCTTTTTATACCGTAAGGTCGGCATCACCCTCTCGTTGCGTGACATCCCAAAAAACGGCCGCGGAGAAGACTATCTCAAACGCGACGACTAAGATTTGAATGTTTTACTCGACGAACGTACATGATCTGCCTGCGTTATATTTTCTCTCAAGACAACGAGATATGATTCTGAACCCCCCCCNCGGAGAAGACTATCTCAAACGCGACGACTAAAATTTGAATGTTTTACTCGACGAACGTACATGATCTGCCTGCGTTTTATTTTCTCTCAAGACAACGAGATATGATTCTGAACCCCCCCCACCCCCCCCCCCCCCATGGTTTTGATGCGCTTACTAGAGAGGTATAAATCAATTACTACTGGGGAAAGGCACCCACATTGCGACAATCCAATCTGTGGAACAGAGAGCAAGTGCACTTGATCGAATAGTTTTGTAGCATTTTTTTTTTTTAAATTCTGTAGGAACGGAACTCGCCATCAATCAAATCATTTTTGACTTCACTGCCAGGACCTAAAATACAAAGTGTTCCAGTTCATGAGCTAGAGGATTTTGAAAGTAGGTGTTGTCTGTGTTTCTTTAAGTTGAATACGGTTCATTATTTACGAGATGTATTGAAGCTGAACTCACGGACAGCTCGAGACAGCACCAACATTTTCTAATTTGAAGTCCTTTTGTTTGATTATTTGCAAACGTAAGTACGTCTCAGTTCATTTGTTTGCGATATAAATAAACGCTTGACTTCAACAGCTACCTACCTTGTCTGCGTCTAAAGAGGTGAGTAGATTCGCCGACATGTTGTCCGTCATTGGCTTAGGAAAAGTGGGTGGGGAGAGTGTGAGGATGGAAGGAAGGAAAATCCTTCCCCTCCTCCTCCCCCTCTTTCAGCCTCATCAGGACGCCTTTTCGTCTCTCGCCAAGCCTCTTCCGAGTTGGCACTCACTTGATAAAAANTGAATAAATAATTAATTACGCTAGAAAGCATAGCACTGTTTATCAGTAAAACGTCAAGAATTTGCCATTTAGGAGTTGTTTCTTTTTTCCTGCAAACATACCATTTATTGACAGCTTGGTTTTTTCTACATAGCAATATATACTACTTGTTACCTTTCAACGAAATCACAACTTGTAAAATCTCGGGAAAAAATCCTAAAGGAATATTTTACGTCACATGTAAAAAGTTAGTTCAATATTGTACGCGACGCGACTATTGCAAATTATGTAAATATGTTCCGCGAGAACTTTCAAACTTGTTCAACAAGCTGATTGTCTGGAGGCAAAGCCAGTCCGAGGCGATCTTTGTCAAGTTTATCGGCTCACTTTCCGCTGATTTCGGAAGACAAAAGCTCGCGATAATTCTGTAAAAAAAAACGCCCTACAAAAGACAATTTATTGATATTCCCATTAGCGTTTGTAGCTCCTGTTTATGTAGCAAAGTAAGTTCTTGCACTAGAATAAATTTACCTAAATTACCACCATTTTGGACAAATGGAAATTAAATATGCTTCTCTTAATGCAGACAGGAAAAATCCAAACAAAATTCAGAAAAAGCCCAAACACTCCAGTGTTTTCAGGGCCCTACTATGAAACAATGTACAATTTTCGCTCCAATGAAAAACGCTTCCTAACTACTCGTGACGTTAAGTCCAACAACGGTAGAGTGACTAAAGATTTGTCGTTTAACAGCCAACCGCTGAGAACTGTTCAACTAATAATGTCTACCAGTAAACAACAGTGACTCGTACAGTTACCGTTTTGGGAAACAACTCACTGAAAGTTCTCAAAGATTTTCAAACACTACAACAGAACGAGTACATGGCGGATGCATTCTCGTCTGCCTTGCAAGCTAGCAATACTGAGTAAAATTCTCAGTTGCATAACAATCCGCTTACATTTAAGGTGTTGGCGAGTTAAGAGATCTCTTGTAGAGTCTATTTATGTACAAAACGGTACGTGGACGCTACACCTCAGTCCTCCTCGTTGAATATGCGGTTGAGGTTGTCAAACTTCCTGCCCCATTCTTGCAAGAACGCAAATTCCTGCTCCTCTTCCTCATCTGGCTCTTCATCGCTGTCTCCGAGCTCACTGAGGTCGTCTACGTCGGAGTCATCGCCCTCGTAGCGGTAAATATGCAACTCGTCAATAGACAGGACATACTCCCCGTCCGCTTCCAGCACGCGTGTGTCAATGAACTGCTTGACGTCAATGCTTTCAGGGTGTACTACACGACGTTTGGTGATAGTGGTAACCCCGTGCTGGAGGCCTACACCGGGCATGGCTCCTTGCAAAAGCGGCTTGTTCTCTGCTACAGTAAACTCTTCTTCGCCTACGCCGCCGCCACCAGCACCTCCATCTTTGAACTTGCCGTAACCTGCGCCTCCTGTGCCCGCGATACCGTTTTCTACATAGGTGTACTTCATCAGCGTCGTAATGTCGTAGCTGAAGTTGTCTTCCTCGCCAGCGCCTTCGTCGTGGTACGGTCTGACGTTGTCGTGAACGTGTCCGTCTTCAACGACCGCTACAACGGTAGGTTGCGGTCGCCTTTTGAGGAGTACGGCGCCGATGATGGCCAAAATTGCCAGGATAATCACCAGGACGCAGGCGATAACAGCGGGATTCACCCATCGGCTGGATCGTGTACCTATGAACAAAAAACAACAAGGTGGAGACGCTTTAACAACGCACTATATAACGTCAACCTGCACGTAAACACAACACACTACAGTGGAATTAACCACCCTAACCACTCCATGGTTCACTCCTACGAGAAAACTGATCAGTGGAATTTTCCTTTTTCGGGGGGAGTGGGGGAGGGGGGGTGGATGAAGAGGGGTGAAGGAGGGAGGAAGTAACTTAGGGTGGGCGAAGGGTCTTGTTATCGCAATTGTAAGGTATTTCAAACCCTTCATTTTCGACACGACAGCACCAGAGTCTGGATTTGTTACTTTTAAAGGAGCTACCTCACGAATCATGAAATTTTTAGCTTAAATTGTTCAAGTTCGTCGTTTGTAATCCGTGTTAATCTTCTCCATCCTTAACCATTTCTATCTTAGTAAACTACTATTTTCGGGTTTCCTTCAATGTGAAGGTAATTTAGTACATGACCAAAATACCGTGACTGAGCCCCTTAAGAAAACACTCGTCTCAAGACTGAGAGGTAACAAACCTGGATTGGGCGCCGTGACAATAACCTCACAATTTCGTCCACTCCAGCCAGGCGGACACAGACAATAAGGAGGTACAGCATTGACACACGTGCCGCCGTTTAAACAGCGACTTGCTGAACATGGACAGCCGAACTCTACATTCTGTCGTCGTGCCTCTATAGAGCCATCGTTATCCAAATCCACACCATTGTAGTTGTTTGATGCAGTACAGCCTGGAGGTAAATCATATTTAGGCGTTCAGAAATTACTGCACTTACGAAGGTATCCTCTGTAATGACTTGAATCGACAGAAGTAGCGAAATAACACGAACAAAAGCAGATGGAAAAAAGGCAATGGGGCTTACGCTTCTTCTATTGTTCCTATTCGAACGCGTCAGGAGCGTGGTAGACCTTTATCGACACTATTCCTCTAAGGTGAAGTATACATGAAATAATTCATATTTGAACTGCGGTTGTAGATGAAAGTGAAGAATGATCATCGCAGTAAATTTTCCTTTATCATTCTCTCCAGGAAAAGGATATAAATTTCGCAGTTTTGGCCAAAGAAATTGCCAAAAACGTCTAGCATATTTCCATGGCTTTTTCGGGAGTACAGTCCGCAATAGTATTAGTGTATTATGTCGAATATCTACTACTCATTTTATTGCCAAGAAAATCCCCGTGTTTCTTAGACGATTTCAAATACGTCAAACTCTCACTTGTCAAGAAATAGGTTAGGGATTAAATAGAGAAGTACGGATTAAAGATCCAGCAACACAATCTTGTCACTCACCTCCGAAATCTCCAATCACTTCGATATCTCCAGTACCGTCCGTTGTGGCACCCCCAATGGTCCATGAAGATATGCCACTGCCATATGCAGACAGTTCGCCATATGCACTAAGAGAGGAGGCACTTCCTAATACCGTATTTCCGCCAGTTACATCTCCGCCCGAAGCACCACCGGACGCCACTCCTCCGTTAGAGGCACCACCGGACACTTCGCCAGCACCACCAGAAGCCCCGTTACCGCCAACACCACCAACAGACACCCCACCTTCGCCAGAGGCACCCACTGCAGTACCGCCTCCGGCTGAACTGATTACGACATATTTACCGCTCGTTTGCATGCTCTTTTGTATGACCCTGACATTAACATTTCTTTCAGACTGTCCTATAAATACCCTGCCACCACCTCTAGAAACACCCCCACTTGCAACACCTCGTATTCTCAAGCGGGCCATGCTAAGGAAGGCGCTGGAGGTGTAAACCTGTCCTCTGGAACCAACAACGATGTTGGTACCCATGACTCCTGCATTAGACGAGCCATAGCCCATTAATCCAGCTCCAACCCCGCTCGAGATGATGTTGCCGTCAGCAGTGCGTAAGATAGCGTTGCCGCCGCTGTTAACAAAGGCTTCCACGACTCTGACCTGGGGTAGGAATAAAAGAAAGTCTTAGTTCAGCCCAAAATACGTGCAACAAAATAGGACACAATGGGGCTGCTATTTGACGACTTATTTCTATTACTGTGTTAGCACTCGATAATAGCTACTGGAAACAATAGACTTCAAAATGGCCGCCGTATTAGACATAATGCGACTGCTTAGTTTCGAACAAGAGATCCCTTATGGGCGAGAGGATAAATCCCCCATACAGACCTTATTATCAAAGCAATCTCTCTAAAGTTATTTCGGACATGGTACCCAGTTCTTCAGGAGGTAATGCTAACACGCGCGTTGCGTTGATGTTTTCGTGGAGGATGAAAATGTATGCAAAGCCGTGTTGGCTCTCCACGTGAGCAAAATCCAAAATCCAAATCTAAAATCTTGACCCTGCTGAGACTTCCGAAACCAAGAATTGTGTAAGATTTCCTTAGTCTATATGGAGGATCAACTCACTTGTCCTTCTTCCTCTCCTGATTTGGGCCGGGTTGTCCACAGCCCGTTTAAGCTAACCCAGGATTAGCGAGAATTATGATTTCAGATTTGTAACGTTCAGGTGATGTTTTCTGTTTATATTGTTTCCCTTCAGTTTTGAGCTAGAGTAACATCAAACTACACAAAACACAAACAGTGAAAAAAAAATCCTAAAAACAAAATTTAACACTTCAGTTAACTTTTAATCTTGGGTTAGCGTTCACCGGCTTTCGAACAACCCTGGCTATTTATGGCCGGGCACTGAGCAAATCGACCGGTTGTGAGGGCGATTTTGCCCGCCTGGTTTGACCATCTAGAGAAGGTTAAAATTCTTTTTTAGAATTTCAGTTCACATAGTTTTGCCTACTTGTGAAAACCAGTTGTCCTCCTGATGAAAACGTTAATGAAACTCCTGAAAGTGTGAGTAACCGTACCTCAGTAAAGTTAGGCAAGCCACCAGTGAAGAAACTTCCTCCGCCCATGTTGAGCAGTTTGTGTAAGCCACCCGTGGTGCCCTCCACTTTACCGTCGTAATCGATCTGAAGGCTTGCACGGTTGCCTTCTCTCTTGACTACCACAGTGTGGTATACATCATCTGTCACGTTCAGTTGAGGAATGCTTAGGATCTTCATGCGGTCACCCAGTCGGAAGATGTAACGCAGCACACCGTTCTTAACCTGCAAGGAAAATTGTGAGCGAAAACTGTTGGCCATGTATCCAAGGAAGGTTAAATCAAGGAACTACTCCTTGATGTGTTACAATCTGAAGATGACTATACTGAAGTCTCCAAACTGATACAAAAGTTTTCTAAAATAACATAGTTTATTAATAACAATAATCTTGTCGCTTGTGAATGTGCGCATTTTTTTACGATTTATTATTATTTACCTGTAACTTTCGTTAATTTATTGTAAATTATCACTCTTGTTTCTTTCTTTCCTTTTTAATATAAATTCTTGCCCAGTCTCAATTAGTTCTGGAACTAGTTACGGGGGCAAGGAATTCTTCTAATTATATGTAAGACAAGACAAGAAAATAAAATAAAATTAAAATTGAATTGAAAAACTTAGTACTGTGGGGTAAAATAAAAGCGGGTGGATGAGTAAGCGGTTCTTCGGTGCTAAGCAAGACAGTCATCCAAGTGGCGTCCAGCACAAATGTTCTTAAAAATAATGAAGATTAACGTGGGCACCAAAATCGTAATATGTTGTCTACTGTAACAATTACATTGAAAGACCCCTATGGAATACATAGGTACGTCCGTAGAATCTCTCCAATATCACAAAAGAAGCTCTTACATCAATTCTGTTAAATTCGGTTCCCAAGCTGTTCGAAGCTAAGAATACGACCACATTGGTAGAATTGGGCGAGATCTTGACTTGCAGAGCGATGTTGGTGTAGAATTCATTTGCCATAGACACTGGTGGAGGAATAAGTTCACGGCGTTTCCTCTTGGACTGTTTTACCCGGTACTGGGTGAAACTATTTGCCTTGTACCAGTTGGCATTCGCTCCTATTGAAATAAGAACACGTTTATTTAGAAAACACGCACGTAATTCCCTACTTCTTGGGGACATTTTCATTAGAAAACAAATGCGGTTCGCGTAGTATAAAAGAAAGAAATGTCACAATTGTTTGGATTTCAAATAAGAACTAACTCTCAGGGAGTTCCACAAACGAAAAGCTCAGTCACCGTTTCCGCATATTGAAAAGTTAAGCCTCAATTTTTCAAATTCGTTGTTTGGAATCCGTGTTAATCTTCTCCATCCTTAGCCATCCTTGTTCCTTTGTGGTTTATTATTATCTCTTTGGTGTTTTTCTATCTTATTAAACTGTTANTGCACTTACGAAGGTATCCTCTGTAATGACTTGAATCGACAGAAGTAGCGAAATAACACGAACAAAAGCAGATGGAAAAAAGGCAATGGGGCTTACGCTTCTTCTATTGTTCCTATTCGAACGCGTCAGGAGCGTGGTAGACCTTTATCGACACTATTCCTCTAAGGTGAAGTATATATGAAATAATTCATATTTGAACTGCGGTTGTAGATGAAAGTGAAGAATGATCATCGCAGTAAATTTTCCTTTATCATTCTCTCCAGGAAAAGGATATAAATTTCGCAGTTTTGGCCAAAGAAATTGCCAAAAACGTCTAGCATATTTCCATGGCTTTTTCGGGAGTACAGTCCGCAATAGTATTAGTGTATTATGTCGAATATCTACTACTCATTTTATTGCCAAGAAAATCCCCGTGTTTCTTAGACGATTTCAAATACGTCAAACTCTCACTTGTCAAGAAATAGGTTAGGGATTAAATAGAGAAGTACGGATTAAAGATCCAGCAACACAATCTTGTCACTCACCTCCGAAATCTCCAATCACTTCGATATCTCCAGTACCGTCCGTTGTGGCACCCCCAATGGTCCATGAAGATATGCCACTGCCATATGCAGACAGTTCGCCATATGCACTAAGAGAGGAGGCACTTCCTAATACCGTATTTCCGCCAGTTACATCTCCGCCCGAAGCACCACCGGACGCCACTCCTCCGTTAGAGGCACCACCGGACACTTCGCCAGCACCACCAGAAGCCCCGTTACCGCCAACACCACCAACAGACACCCCACCTTCGCCAGAGGCACCCACTGCAGTACCGCCTCCGGCTGAACTGATTACGACATATTTACCGCTCGTTTGCATGCTCTTTTGTATGACCCTGACATTAACATTTCTTTCAGACTGTCCTATAAATACCCTGCCACCACCTCTAGAAACACCCCCACTTGCAACACCTCGTATTCTCAAGCGGGCCATGCTAAGGAAGGCGCTGGAGGTGTAAACCTGTCCTCTGGAACCAACAACGATGTTGGTACCCATGACTCCTGCATTAGACGAGCCATAGCCCATTAATCCAGCTCCAACCCCGCTCGAGATGATGTTGCCGTCAGCAGTGCGTAAGATAGCGTTGCCGCCGCTGTTAACAAAGGCTTCCACGACTCTGACCTGGGGTAGGAATAAAAGAAAGTCTTAGTTCAGCCCAAAATACGTGCAACAAAATAGGACACAATGGGGCTGCTATTTGACGACTTATTTCTATTACTGTGTTAGCACTCGATAATAGCTACTGGAAACAATAGACTTCAAAATGGCCGCCGTATTAGACATAATGCGACTGCTTAGTTTCGAACAAGAGATCCCTTATGGGCGAGAGGATAAATCCCCCATACAGACCTTATTATCAAAGCAATCTCTCTAAAGTTATTTCGGACATGGTACCCAGTTCTTCAGGAGGTAATGCTAACACGCGCGTTGCGTTGATGTTTTCGTGGAGGATGAAAATGTATGCAAAGCCGTGTTGGCTCTCCACGTGAGCAAAATCCAAAATCCAAATCTAAAATCTTGACCCTGCTGAGACTTCCGAAACCAAGAATTGTGTAAGATTTCCTTAGTCTATATGGAGGATCAACTCACTTGTCCTTCTTCCTCTCCTGATTTGGGCCGGGTTGTCCACAGCCCGTTTAAGCTAACCCAGGATTAGCGAGAATTATGATTTCAGATTTGTAACGTTCAGGTGATGTTTTCTGTTTATATTGTTTCCCTTCAGTTTTGAGCTAGAGTAACATCAAACTACACAAAACACAAACAGTGAAAAAAAAATCCTAAAAACAAAATTTAACACTTCAGTTAACTTTTAATCTTGGGTTAGCGTTCACCGGCTTTCGAACAACCCTGGCTATTTATGGCCGGGCACTGAGCAAATCGACCGGTTGTGAGGGCGATTTTGCCCGCCTGGTTTGACCATCTAGAGAAGGTTAAAATTCTTTTTTAGAATTTCAGTTCACATAGTTTTGCCCGCTTGTGAAAACCAGTTGTCTTCCTGATGAAAACGTTAATGAAACTCCTGAAAGTGTGAGTAACCGTACCTCAGTAACGTTAGGCAAGCCACCAGTGAAGAAACTTCCTCCGCCCATGTTGAGCAGTTTGTGTAAGCCACCCGTGGTGCCCTCCACTTTACCGTCGTAATCGATCTGAAGGCTTGCACGGTTGCCTTCTCTCTTGACTACCACAGTGTGGTATACATCATCTGTCACGTTCAGTTGAGGAATGCTTAGGATCTTCATGCGGTCACCCAGTCGGAAGATGTAACGCAGCACACCGTTCTTAACCTGCAAGGAAAATTGTGAGCGAAAACTGTTGGCCATGTATCCAAGGAAGGTTAAATCAAGGAACTACTCCTTGATGTGTTACAATCTGAAGATGACTATACTGAAGTCTCCAAACTGATACAAAAGTTTTCTAAAATAACATAGTTTATTAATAACAATAATCTTGTCGCTTGTGAATGTGCGCATTTTTTTACGATTTATTATTATTTACCTGTAACTTTCGTTAATTTATTGTAAATTATCACTCTTGTTTCTTTCTTTCCTTTTTAATATAAATTCTTGCCCAGTCTCAATTAGTTCTGGAACTAGTTACGGGGGCAAGGAATTCTTCTAATTATATGTAAGACAAGACAAGAAAATAAAATAAAATTAAAATTGAATTGAAAAACTTAGTACTGTGGGGTAAAATAAAAGCGGGTGGATGAGTAAGCGGTTCTTCGGTGCTAAGCAAGACAGTCATCCAAGTGGCGTCCAGCACAAATGTTCTTAAAAATAATGAAGATTAACGTGGGCACCAAAATCGTAATATGTTGTCTACTGTAACAATTACATTGAAAGACCCCTATGGAATACATAGGTACGTCCGTAGAATCTCTCCAATATCACAAAAGAAGCTCTTACATCAATTCTGTTAAATTCGGTTCCCAAGCTGTTCGAAGCTAAGAATACGACCACATTGGTAGAATTGGGCGAGATCTTGACTTGCAGAGCGATGTTGGTGTAGAATTCATTTGCCATAGACACTGGTGGAGGAATAAGTTCACGGCGTTTCCTCTTGGACTGTTTTACCCGGTACTGGGTGAAACTATTTGCCTTGTACCAGTTGGCATTCGCTCCTATTGAAATAAGAACACGTTTATTTAGAAAACACGCACGTAATTCCCTACTTCTTGGGGACATTTTCATTAGAAAACAAATGCGGTTCGCGTAGTATAAAAGAAAGAAATGTCACAATTGTTTGGATTTCAAATAAGAACTAACTCTCAGGGAGTTCCACAAACGAAAAGCTCAGTCACCGTTTCCGCATATTGAAAAGTTAAGCCTCAATTTTTCAAATTCGTTGTTTGGAATCCGTGTTAATCTTCTCCATCCTTAGCCATCCTTGTTCCTTTGTGGTTTATTATTATCTCTTTGGTGTTTTTCTATCTTATTAAACTGTTATTTTCAGGTTTCCTACCATTTAAAGGTAATTTTGTATGTGGCCAAAATAACTCAAAATACCGTGACTGAGCTCCTTTAAGGCACGGTGCACAGTCCAGCGCTGTCTTCCGACTGAATTAGTTTGTACCAAAACTGTTACTAAACTCATCATACATCTCGAAATTCAAAATCCAACCGATTAACCACCGGAAAGAGTACGCAAAGTGTAGTTTTTTAACGTTGAAATGTCAATTTTGGAAGTAAATGGTTCAGATCTCCTTCACACGATCCATTCAAAAGTTGCCAGACGTTTCCATGACAACGGGTTAGTAAGTCTTGATACCCAGGCAAATTAAGGAAATATCTTTTTCAATGTTCAACGCGTTACTGCAGTAACTAACGTGACAGTCACCACAAATTCGTCGTATCAGTATGTTTACCAGAGTAACTAAGAGTGTTGCTGAACTAGTAAGGAAATCAGGGAACACTAGATGGCTCTGTAACAGTTTCAAAATCTCTTACTGGAGTTACAGTTTGGCCCAGTGTAGCCAAGATCGCACACACAGATGCTGTTTGTCCACAAAGGTTCACAATATCCCTGATCATTACAGTCTGGACACAGGTTGTTGTCAAGCTTGCAGCCTAACTCTGTGTTCTTTTCAAGCAGTGGATTCAGCAAATCATACATCTTGTTGTTGTCGTATATATCTCGGATGCAGCCTTCAAAACCTTTGAAGTTTATGTTTGCATCATTCACCGTGTTCTCCACGCCTCCGATTTGAAGCGGACCAAAGCCATTCAAGTATCTGTGGTTCAAAACAAAAAAGACGGATTTCAATCATCAGGACCGCTGTTTAAGCATGGAGTTAATAGAGTTACTTCTCCTCTATGCCCCACTCCCTCCCATCCTTTCTCCCCCGCAACCCAATCCACACCCCTCAATTAGCTACTAAACTTTCAAACCACTTTCAAAAAATTCAACCAGATTACCCCCTTGACGATATCTAAACAACACGCAGACCACAAGACTACTGTGCTGTCAATTTTAGACCTTCTAATGCCTAATCTTCTAATGCCTTCCCTTGTGGTACAAGAAAAGTAGACAAAAAACCCCCTGATTTTGTTTCACTGAGAGGTTATTCATTCATTTAGAACGGTGTGATATCTAAGCAAAAATTAGTTTTGAAGAACGACAAAATTTCTGGGAGGCCAAACATTATGAACGAACGTTGTAAGCAAAGCTTCCCCTGTGGGGAAAGGTACAGACTACTTACATCGCGGAGCCCCACACCTCGCCCTCGATCTCACACAACGCCCTGTTTTCAATCACTTCACCATTATCTTCCACAATCTGAGAGCGCGAGCATTTGTCAATCCTCAAGGTTACTTTCTAAAAAGCGAAAAGAGAAATTAAAACAAGCCATGGTTAATTGACCGTTCCAGATCAATTCAAGGTAAAGCACGTACTCTTACTAAAATTACGATGCCAAATATTTATACCCCATGTAAAAGGTGGGAGAGTCGCCTTAATAATTCAAGTGCTTACAATCTTATTCAAAGATCAGCCTCGTGGACTGTCTCGAAAGGAAAGCTTCCACACATAAGCATGACTATTAGGTAAACGCACAATCTGATTGGCTGCACAGAGGCAGGCATAAGATCGATAGATGGTACCGGAACTCAACAGGTCGGTCAGTCGCGTTTTCATGAAGTTTCTGGTGGATGTTATTTTTCTCTAAGCATTAACGCGTATCACTGACGTTTAGAGAAAACAACACAGAACGCCAAGCGCAACACAGAAATTCTCTGTTTCTCGTTATCGACCAAGGTTTAATCTTGTCTCCGCGCTCTTGCGAGAAACTAAATATATCTCCGAGTGAAAGTGCCCTTAGGAGGTCAGCCACTATCTCGACACGTATTTACGGTGGAACCCCGTTAATCCGGTCATCAACGGGCCACATAAATCTGGCCGTATTAAAGGGGTGGCTGTATTAAAGGAATTTTCTAAAATTCCTGACTAAGCTTTTGTTCGGGCCAGAATAAAGTGGTCGTAATAACGAGGTGGCCGTAAGGCGGGGTTACACTGTATTTTCATTCAATTAGAGTCAGAAAGAAGTACAACACCGGAGAGTTTGCACCCCAAGACGACAAATCGTCACATGATCAATCGTATCCAAAGGGTCAAAAACATATTTTTTCCTAAATGTTAAAAGACTTGCCTACCTTGAGTGATCGAATGATTTCCACCGTGTGCCACGTCCTATCATCGAGTCTGTCACCCCGGTTCATGTAGAGCTCGAGTGGAGCATTGGGATGAGGACCAAGAGTTAGCACCAGCTTGACGTACCCGTCCACCAACATCAACGCCATCACATCTGGTAAACCATTGTTGGCGCCTGCATAAATAAGGTTAATAAATATCGTAAATCCTTGATGATGCTATAAAATAACCAGGAAACTGCTCGAGCTCTGATTGGGAAAAAAGAAAATAACCGCCTTCCCCCCTCCCCTTCTCATCGTAGAATCAGCAGAACGTCTAAGTAGACACATTGAAAACCGTACGTTTAAACTGTTACCTTTAAAAGGTTCATTCCATAAGATGATTTTGAACAATAAAAGAGACAATATTTCGTGCCATAGCTCTCATAACAAGGCCAATATAGCAATTATCCACAGCTGAGAGAATTTGTTTGGATAAAATTAATTTCATTCTTGTAACCGATTTCTCAGTTCTCGTTACTTGGATGCTTTAATAAGCAATGGTACTGTGCGGAGATATCGGATGTTTATCATAACAAGGTCAATGTAGCAATTCTTTACTGGTCTTTAGACTTTTCATATCGCACCACTGAGTGAATTTGCTTGCGTAAAATTAATTTTACTCCAGTGACAGACCGCTTTCTCAATTCTCATTACCTGGGTACTTTGATAAGTATTGCTACTGTGAGGAGATACTGGATGTACATCACTCTTAGACGAATGTGATTCACTTCGAATATTACAGTAATTTTGATTTTCAATAGACATATCCCACAGTATCTTGACACGTCAAATCCGATCGGTACACACTTTTACAGTGTTTTTTTTATGATAAGTGAAGAAATTCTCGTGCGCTCATTGGCTAATTTTCCTTGTCAATAAGTGGACAGACAGGGAATTTATAATTTATGCGATTTGGCAACGAGCGAGAGCAGACAATTTGACAATTTATTATCGAAAAAACAAATTGACGTCAGTTTTTCATGCGTTTGTCCTGTTATGGACAATGAATTTCGTCATAACATCGTCAAAGTAGTCTGCAAATCCACAGCTACTTTGACAAGGTTATGATGAAATTCATGATCAAAAACAGGACAGACGCATGAAAAACTGATCTCAATTTGTTAAAAAGTGTCTTTAAATAGTCTAAATAATCAGATGGCTGAAATGGGCGGGTCTCATCCCTGCTACAGTACATTTCAAGACGTCAGTTCATTCTACTAACCTTCATAAACTGGTCCTTGGTAGAGCAGCAGTCCATTTGCCGTTCCCGTCATAAATTGCATCGAGACTGTGCTACGTTGATAGGCGATCAGCTTCTCCAGGTGTATGAACGAATTACCCTTGAATGTCCTGGTGGTACTTTGGCACTCGGGTCCTCGGTAGTCGCGCCCACACTCGCAGATGATTCCCTTGGGAACAGCATTGTGGCACGTGCCTCCGTGCAAACAGGGCGTGCCCGTGGAACAGTTCTTTTCCTCTGGGATGATAGTCGTGTAGACGCCTCGCAGCACAACATTCATGGACACTAAGGTTAGTGAGGTTCCTGGGGCGGGGACTTGGCCATAGTCGCCACTTACGACAGTGAATGCCGAAGACGCTTTCACTTCGTTGCTGCATTTTCCAACTTGTTGTTGTTCGTAGGCACATGCATCAATGCCAATACTTCCTATCGATCGATCTGTAAATTTACAAATTACATGAAAATAATTAACTAAGAGTATTTCTAACCTTCCCACCTTCCCTCCAGGAAAGGATGCTAGTCCATGAAAACCATGCCCGTCGTGTTTTGCAAGATTTGGAATTCTTCAATGTACTTGCTACATGTTGTTTGAAACGGAACTTGTTTCCCAATCCACACACCGTTATCGTTATCAAGGGATCTTGTGACTTCGTGAAGATCATGGCAAATGTATCAAAGATCATGGCAAATGTACCGTAACCAAAAAGGACAGTTGTTGGCATTTGCCCTCACAGTCTGTCATCAACAATTTTTGCATTCTAGTTTTAACATTGTCTAGAATGGTTTACCCTATCTTAGAGGCCGTCAACATGGCTCAACTCACCTTGCAGTTCAAGCTCGTCCTTGTTTTCTCCCAACTTCTTTACAATTTCCATGTGATTCATGTACCCGCTACCGTCCAGTACTGCCAGGTAAATCTCCACTCCAAACAGATACTGCAGAGGAACACGGTAGACCGGAGCCTTTTGGACGCTGAAGATCAAAATACGGTCAACATCACCGCCGGTTAAAATGTCGGCAAACACTGATCGCCATGTCGAGTAGTATTCGCCGACAAAGACGGACGTTTTCCTCAACTCAAAGATCTGCACAGCCACACTCTGCTGGAGGGCGGCACTGGTGACACTTTGTACAATAACAGTTATAGCAGAAGTTACAGTCTTTGAGAACGTTGAATCTGTGACTTGCACGTCGAATCTGTAGGTACCCAGGGGAACGTTTGCCTCCGCAGTGATGTTACCGTTACCTGAGTTTACGGTGAAGTACTCTTGGGAAGATAACATGGTAAACTGATTTCCATGAACTTCAAAGTCGTCGTCTTTGTAGTAAGCCCTGCCGATGATGCCGCCAGCAAACTTGCCATTGTACGCGTTCACGATTATCGTCAGTTCTCCGTCTTCTGGTTCGTGTGTGTTCCTATCATCTTCTACGTCAACGAACACAGAGGTAGTATTGCTCTTAGTCGGACTTCCACTGTCAGTTGCCTGGACCTCCACTTCCCATTCCTGCGTCACCGTTCGGTCGAACAACCCAAACGCAAACATGGAGGTTGATGTGGCTGTGGGGCTACTCAGCCTGAAACGGTTGCGGAGGTCTGTCTCGACTACTGAAAACGTAAACGGCGATCCATTACTAGCTTCATCCGGATCGTATGCCTTTATTTCAGTGACGGGTTGTCCCGCTGCGGGATTTATGCCTGCCTTGATGGTACCTTCGTAGTAACGTGGTATAAACCAGGGGCCGTTATCATTGATATCTGTTACAGTGAGATACAATAATCCGACACCCTGCAACCCTCCACTATCCGTCGCTGTGATGGTCAAATTGTACTTAGGAATGGTTTCTCGATCTATCTGCAAGACGGTAGAAATTATTCCAATACTGCCATTGTTAGGATCAGACTTGATAGCAAACATGTTGGCGTCATCGCCATCAGTAATCGAGAACGTGAACTCTGCGTTGGTACCCGTGTCCTTATCGATGGCTGTCACCTGCGCTACAGAAGCTCCTGGCTTGACACTCTCCGATACAACCTCGTTGTACACGGAGGGTACAAACACCGGAGGATTGTCATTAGCGTCAAGCACATTAATGTACACAAACGCTTTCTCCTCTGCCTCCTGGGGTGGATTCCCTCGATCAGTTACCTTGACCGTCAAGTTGTACGACTTCTTCCCTTTGTCAAAGTCAAGAAGTCCGGACACGAGGATGTCGCCCGTTCGCGGGTCGATGTAGAACTCGTACGGGTCATTGCCCGTCTCAATTGTGTACTCTAACTCGGCATTTGGTCCCTCGTCTTCATCAGAAGCTTTGACCTTCGTAACAAAGTACCCGGGGAGCGCATCCTCCGGCACTTTAGCCCGGTAAATTGTGGGATCGAACTCTGGCTTCTGATCATTTCCATCGGTCACTTTGATGGTAGCAGAAACAGTTCCAGACCTTAGTGGGTCTCCAGCCCTTCTGTTTGTAGCTTTGACTCGAATTGTAAACTCGTTTTCGGCACCTTCTTTTTCGAGAGTTTCCAGCGTAGTGACGAGACCAGAGTCTGGATCAATCTTGAACTTGCCATTTGCATTGTCCTCTAGCTCGTAGACTATCTCTGCATTGATACCCGAGTCCAAGTCGATTGCTTGAAGAACCATAACACTTGTACCGGGGTTTTTGTTCTCTTCTACATAGCCTATGTAGGGAGGGCTGGGAAAGTACGGAGCGTTATCATTGATGTCCGTAAGGTTGACTCTAACTAAAGCTTCCCCCCTGTGCTTACCATCGGAAGCATACACATAAAAAGAAACAATCTGCTGTTTTTCGCGATCAAGCCTGCTATTTGCAGTGGTTATTAGACCAGTTTTGGCGTCGATTGTGAAGTACGTCTGCCCTGTCTTGTCAATGGAGTATTGCAGTTCGCTCTGGACTTTAGAGCTATCTAAGTCAGTTGCAGAAACCTTTTTAACACTCTCGCCTGGCGGGCTGTCCTCTTGGATCGTTGCTTCGTAGATCAGGGCAGAAAACTCAGGCACGTTGTCATTCGTATCAATAACCTGTTAAAGGAAGTCAAGAGCTATTGAGTGGTTAATTTGTAAGCTTGCAAAAGAGTAAAGAATACAAAACCCCCCAAAAATACATGATTACAGTGATCAGTTGGGCTCGGGCGACTATGAGATAGTCAGTTTACAGGCATGCCAGTTTCCTATTCACAAAACGTGACCAAGGAATTTAACTCAAGAATGCCAAGAGCAAATCCATCTACTGGCTTGAATCCGGGATCTCTGGATTCCAATACCTGCGCCTAAACCAACTGCTCACACCGCCCGAGCCTTAAGGAATATCACTTGCCCATGGGATCCTCGTCCATCACAGGCTCAACCCCCACCCACAAGTCCCAGCATTTCGTCGCGTTACCCAAACAAATCGTCAGTACCCTATATTACAGTATGCTCCTGGGTTGACAGAGGCAAGTACTTATGCGTCCCATGGCGCGATAACGACTGATGATGATGACGATGTCTAGAGAGGCCCTATGGGAATTTTAAGTGTATTGGCTAAAACAGCACTGCATATTGACCCTAGTACTCGAAGCTAGATCGCTCGTCCGAAATCCATCGGGGTCCTGATTAAGAGACTGTACCACACTAAACAATGCTTCCTGCAACTGGCTTCGCAATTTTGTTCATTACCGCATTAAGAAATAGATTCATGTTGTCGTACGTCTGTTTCGTAATTGATTACAGATGAGTGTGTCACTGATGTTCTCACCACATTTTGACGTCTTCTGATATCTATTACAGAACAGACCCACAGCAACAAGGAATCTATTTGTGCTATATAATAAAGAAACTAAAAAGAATGTTACGGGCGCCGTCTATGCGTCTGTTCTCCAATTGATCATGAGTAAGAACCAATCGAAATGCGAGAATTATGACTTATTATATATGATGGCTAGAGTACCTATAAAGGTGTCTACAAACGTAGTACTAGTATTGGTTCTACCTATTGCAACAATTTTGAAACGATACCACAAATTTTCTGAGCCTTGTTAAGTATAACACACCTAACACTAAATGGCGGAACTTGTCTTGCCAACGCACAAAAAAAAAAAAAAAAAAACTGCGAGGCAACCGCCCGCTTCAACAACGCCTTAACGCTTTGAGATTTAGATTTACTAACCTTTATAACAACATCAACAGTGTCGCTGTCTTTTCTGTCTGTGGCCGTTACTTTAATGGTGTAGGACTGTCTGCTCTCGAAGTCGAGCTTTCCATCCAGAATAAGAATTCCGTAGTTCTTGGCACTGTTGCGTTGTGGTTGGTAGACCGTTTCCATTTTGAACTTCTGGGATTGATCTCCGCTGGAGATAAAATAGTCAAGCCTTGCATTTTCTCCAATATCACCGTCCGTTGCGGAAAGCTCACGGATAGAGGTCCCAATGCCTGCGTCTTCTTGAACAGTGGCTTCATACTGTCTTTTTGCAAACACAGGTGGCTTGTCATTTTGATCGACGATGTCAACATTAACTGTTACTTTGGTGTCGAACGTTTGATCGGACGCTGATGCCGTCATAATAAACCTTTCGCGTGCCTCCCTGTCGAACCTTTTTCTGGAAAAGATGGTTCCATTGTTGGCAACAATTCTGAAGTCACTTATTAGAGTGTCCAGCGCGTACGTGACCTTACCGAACTGGCCCGTGTCTCTGTCATCTGCTTTGATCGTTATCACATTAAACGGGGGGTTCGCGTTCTCTGGGACTCTGGCGGTGTACTCTGACAGTTTAAATGTAGGTGCATCGTCATTAACATCTATGATGGTCACAAGCACAGTACAGGTGGCATAGAGATTGGTTGCGGACTCTCTGGCTCGAAACTGAAGCTTGTAAGATTTTTGTTGTTCGTAATTAATCATTCCCGCAGTTGTAACATTACCAGTGTCTGGATTAACCTGAAATTTCTGCTCCGCGTCAGGATTGGACTTCACCAAGCTGTACGTTATCTTATTGGCGGGATCAACCTTGCTTTCCGCTTTGATAACGACAACAAAATAACCAAGATCCGTATTTTCCGGAATGTTCTTACTGTAGATGTTACTGGGTATGAACTCGGGTGGTCTTTGGTCCACTACATTGATCTCAACCGTGGTCTCCGAATCACGTGGTGATCCAAGGTTTGACACAATAGGCTCGGTGTTTGTTGCCCTGACTGTCAGCACCACAGTTTGTTCGAAATTGGACAAGTCCGCATTGGTTAAAATGTCCCCGGTATCCCGATTAACATCGAACCTGTCATTAGCACCGACCAAGGAATATGCCACCTTCTGGTTGGAGCCTACGTCAGCGTCTGAAGCACTGACAGTTACGACGGTCGTGCCCTTTGCAGCTTTGTGAAATACACTGGCCAGATACCTCTTTTCATTGAACACGGGGTAATTGTCATTCTTGTCGATAACTTCGACTTCTATGACGCAGTACGAAAGAAGTCTCTCCGCTTCATTCCTGCCGTGTCCGCCATCTTCGGCTTGCACAATCAAAGTATAGCCCTCTGTACTGCCCTCTCGGTCCAAACTGGTTATCGTGGTAATAACTCCGGTGGAATTGTCGATATCAAACAGCTTCTTTCCACCAGTAATTGAATACTCTATTTCCTTGTTTCTTCCTCTGTCGCTGTCTACAGCAGTGACTTGAATCACCACCTCCCCTCTAGGCTCGTTCTCCGCGATGGAGGCTATTCCTGGACAGACTGTGAACACTGGTCTGTTGTCATTGATGTCTTCGATGTTGACTATGACACGAACTTCGTCGAATTGTAAGGATTGAGTGTCAGTTGCCCTCACTTGAAGAGTGTACTGCGTTTGCTTTCCTTTAACACTTTGTGTAAGGGACAGTACACCAGTTGATGGATTAATCTTGAATATATTGCCGCCATCCCCACTGGTTATGGAGTAGCTTGGAATGTCTCCATCAGCATCTCTGGCCACAATGGCTGCTAGTGGCGTGTTTATCGCTGCATCTTCGGCAATACCAATGTTGTATTCGCTCTCCTGGAACGAGGGAACTTCGTCATTGGCATTCTGAACAATCACCTTGACATAGGACCGAGAAGTAAACTTCTTCTCTCCGAAATCCTCCACAACGACGGTAAAGGTATGCTCCCTTTGCGCTTCATAATCAAGCGCGGAATCACCTACACTGATGTCGCCGGTGACCTTATCAATTTTGAAAAGACTTGTACCTTCCAGTGAATACGTCAGGTCACCGCGATCACAACCACAACCTGTACAATCACAGTCATAAGCAACTACAGAGAGCACTTGTGCGCCTGCACCAACAGCTTCACTGATGGATTTCTCATACACCTGCAATGGGAAATAGGGAACGTGCTCATTGGCGTTCGTCACTATGATCTGGACATCCACATCATTGGAGTAACCGCGAGGGATCTGCTCGGTTGTTCTGACTTTCAGATTGTAAATTGCTCGCTTCTCACGATCTAAAAGAGAGTTCACTCTGATCTGACCGGTATTGTCAATAACGAACTTGCTATCTGAATCTCCTTGAATGATTGTGAACCCCAGCCTTGCTCCAGAAACACTGGTGGCGTTGACCTTACCGACCGGTTTTCCAGGAAGCTCCTTCTCAAACACTGTAAACTTGTAAGGGTTTTCTGAAAACACCGGCTTAAAGTTGACAGTTTTGATATCAAGATACACGGATTCACCAAACTGACGTGGGACGCCATAGTCAAAGCCAAAGAGCGTTACATTGTACCCTCCCCTCTCTTCCAGATTACCAGCAGTCTCCACAACGTCAGTCAGCGGGTTGATGCCGAAGGGTACTGCCCTGGACACCATCTGATAGCCAATTCTGCCGGCCAAACCACTGTCCTTGTCCTCTGACTTCAGCTGATACGCCTTTACCCCTGGTCGTGAATTGGTGTTAACGCGGCCAAAGAAATCGATCATTTTCATGACAGGCTTGTTGTCATTGATGTCAACCACGTTGATTTCTACATCGACATCACTGGTGCGACTACGAGGTGCTGGTTCAGTTTCTCTTATGGTCAAACCGAAGAACTGTTGTTCTTCATAATCAAATGGTGCTTCCATCCGAACTTTTCCTGAATTGTCCACGGTAAAATTGGATTTCCGCGGGTAGATAATGGATAATTTGCCGCCAGGGAAATACCTTGGAACTATAGCGACCACACTACCAACACTCTTGTCTTCCCTTACATAGACCCTAACTGGTTGTTGATCGCCTCTGTAGCTTACTAACACCAGCTGAACTTCAACTTTTGTCTCACGGGGTGGAGAGCCACTATCTTTAGCTGTCAACTGAAACTTCACAGGCGATGGAAAGTCTTCGCGAGGCTTCTTTGCTATCAAGAAGCCTTCGCTATCTATAGAAAACATCGACTGTACATCACTAGATAACGTATAAGAAATCGTATCACCATCCCTATCACCGGCTGACAGGCGAGCAACCTGATCACCAACTCGGAAGTCGTTTTCTACTTTCCTCTCCACAACTCCACCAACTTCACCAGGGAATTGCGGAGGGTTGTCATTGATGTTCTTTACTTTAATAACAACAGTAACCTGATCACTGCGGTCTCTACTGTCCATGACTCTTACAACTAACTGATGTTCACGAGCCTCCTCGTAATCTAGCTCCCTCGTTACTCTAATTTCCCCGGTGGACGGAACCATTCGGAAGAGGCCACCCTCGTTACCAGAGGTGATTTCATAAGTAAGGGCCTCGGAGGTGGCAGCTTTCACGACCATAACTCTGTCGTTGGCTTTAACACCCTCAGTGACTTCCTGAATGACTGGTTTAACAACAAATCTGGGTGGTCCATCCGGTAAGAATACGTTCAACTGCACAGTGGCAGTTTTTCGCAGAGGCGGATTACCTTTGTCTTTTGCTTCAACTTCAAGGGTAAACTGAGAGGCGGAGACTGTTGTCAGGGACTTCTTCACCTTGATCACTCCAGTATCAGGATCAATTTTAAAGGCTCCCTCGCCATTTCCACCCGTAATGTTATACACCACCTTTCCATTGTCACCGTTATCCAAGTCTGTGGCCACCACTAGCAGGACTTGAGAGTCCACCTTTGCATCAAGGGCTACTTTGGCGACATACGAATCAGCAGAAAACTTTGGGGAATGATCATTTACATCCCTCACGTTCAAGACAACCTTAGCAATTGCTTTGAAAAAAGAAAAAGAAACAAGAACACTTTGTTTGAGTCACTGAACTTTTTCGCTCCTAGCGCAGATTCCATGTTGCCGTGCGTTTGTTCAGTAATAGACCACAAATGACGTCAAAATGTGGTAAGAACTAAAAAATGGCACACAAAGCAATAGCCCAGTGTGACTGTGATTGTCTTACCACGTTTTGATGTCTTTTGTGATCTATTACTGAACAGACACACGGCCACATGGAATCTACTTGCTTTATATAATGGAGAAACAAAACAGAATTTTAATGACGTCACCTAAACGTCTGACCTCCAATAGATAATAAGAACCAATTAAAATGCGAGAATAATTTGACTTGTAATCCATCAAATATTTTCGTTCGCACGCGATTGGTCTGAACGCGTCACGTGACTGAATATGCCCCAGCTAAAACTTGGGAATATCCGACTGATATCACCCAATTTTCAAAACTACGCGTGATGCGAAAAATATTTGAAGGATAATAAACTCAATAGACTCCATTTGGCGCGAAAATATGCTCGGATATTTGTCCTTGGACATTATCTTTTCCTCAAAACTCACAGTTTTGCATGAATGTAGTAAATTCTACAGTTCAACCCCTATTAGACGGCAACCCTCGTGGAAATGGATATTGGCCGCTTAATGGGGTAAAAACAATAGACAAGCCCTCATCGGGACTTTGATTACTGGCCGCCTAATAGGGGTGGCCGTTTAATAGGTGGCTGCTTAATAGGGGTTCGACTGTATCTTGATCAACGAGCCAAAGTCTTCTTTAAAGGAAAGACAGTGGAATCCTGATTAATCGAACCTCCAAGGGAAACGAAAATTGGTTCGAAAAATCGGCTAGTTCGAGAAATCGGGGGTAAAAATACAGTGTTTGACTGAGGAGGGGAAACGACTTCCAAAAAATGAGGGTTCAAGAAATTGGGATTCGACTGTAGTTAATGCACCCTAGTGGGGTGCACTTTTGAGTTATGTTAGTCATGTGAGCACTTTTAAGAACACAAGAGAATCGCATAGAAAAGAAAAAGACGTAGCCGAGTACATAGCGCACTTCTCGAGTGTTCGAAAATGCATTCCCACGTGCATACTTAACTCAACAATACACGAGGACGAAATTGACAATTTGTTGCACGCTCAAATTCGTGACGTAAGCAGTGTGCATTGTATAACACATGGAAAACGGCGAGCCTACTTTGTGCAACAGAAAATGTTGCCAGTATTACTCAACCTTTAGATAAAAATTTGCTATCCATCAAAACGTTCAACTGATGGTTATGGTTACCAGCAGGAGAGGGTTTCCAGTAGAACATGTTGAGTGTTTACTTATCTACTTGAGTTTAATGGAGCTTACTTGAAAGAGATGGATTTCCTTTATCTGAAGCTTCGATGTACAGAACGTGCTGTCTGATTTGCTCATAGTCCAGCTTTGCCTTGGTGGAAATGGAGCCAGTCGTTGAATCCACTACAAACTTCGAGTTCACGTCCACTGCATAGAGCAACACGTATTGCACTTCTCCGTTTGTGCCCGAGTCCAAATCTGTTGCTGATACTTTCCCCACTTCTTGATCGATACCTTGGGAATGGAAAAAGTACAAGACTGATTGAGATGGCGTGGAGATAATCTTTGTAGCTTCCTTCAGACCACACAAAGACTAGGGGAGCAGGGATGGTGCAGCAGTGAGAGCGCTCGTCTCCCACCAATGTGGCCGTGGTTCGATTTCAGCCCGGTTCCATATGAGGATTTAGTTTGTTGTTGGTTCTCGCCTTGCTCTGAAGGTTTTTCACTGGGTTCTCCGGTTTTCCTCCCTCCACAAAAAATATTTCCAAATTCCAGTTCGACCAGGATAGAGGACCCACATGAAACTATTCAACTGCCAGCCTTGGCACATGTAACTAATTTTTTAGCACATAAGACTAACACGAAACTATTTTTTTTTCTTGCAAAACTTGTTTTACTCAAAGAAAAAGAACCATAACATGTGTGTGGATAGTGTGAGTCAAACTGGGGTAGTCCGACTAGATGACAAGTTCACTCATCACTAACTACACTTGCTGTGTGTGACTGCCGAAACTCGAAATTTTTAAACTACATATACTACAAGCACTGAGAACTATATCTATTACAGTGTTGCCCAAACCACAAAATGAACGCTAACCGCAAGCAAACATGACTAGAAGTAACCGCAGGCAAACCGGAGTGGAGCTAACCTCCGACTAATATCACAAAAACTACGGTTTTTCGCACAACAAAACAAAAAGTAAGCAGGCATCTATAATTTCGCTCCTAAACCATTTTCAGCTTGGGTGACGCACTGTCCCTATTCGCACGTACCCTCAGTACGTGATTCCACGCTATAATATACATACTATAGAAAACCAATCACGCTTTCCATTTAATTAAAAACACCAGTTTGAATTTCCAGAAATTTCTAGTGGCGAATGGAACAGCATTTTCCAGAATTCCGGAAAAGAGGACAACCTTCCAAGGTATACCGAAATTCTAAGAAATTTCCTTCCGGGAGTTACCATTCGACTTTCCCACCGGAATGTCTGGAATGAATGGTTCGCTTTTCAGAACTTCAACAATTTCCGCATTATCTGGAAACTTTCCATGGCAATTTCCGCACCATTTGCCGCTGTTTAGAAATTTTCGGAATTTTTGGTTGAATGGAAAGTACCCCAAGTTTATAAATACCGCACAGTAATGCACTACACTGCACTTGACTGCACTGCTGACTTAAGTGACTAACCTTTGTTTTCGTTCACATCAAAAGAGTACACTGTTTTTGTGAACTCTGGCGCATCATCGTTCTTGTCTCTTATTGTCACATCAACTGTGGTGTTGGTGACCTTGCTCCCCACAGACACAGACACTTTCAAGCTATAGGAGTCCTTTTTCTCCCTGTCCAAGGGTTTTGCCACGCTTATAACACCAACATGGTTAATGCAAAATGCATCGTCATTGTTTCCGCCTATGATACTGTACTTGTAGCTAGGATTACTTAAAGACGGTGAAATATCTTTGACTGGGAAGCCAACAGCCTTGTTTTCATCAAGCGACACTGAATATGTTGCTTGCAACTGTGGAGCTTGTACTCCCTCTGTCACAAAGATTTTGAGACCGAAGGTAGGGCTTTGTTGACCTTTGCCATCAGTTGCTTGAACATTGATATCCCACGACTGTTTTTCAGATCTCCTGTTTACAATTAACAGGAGAGTCAATAAATATGGCAAGTTACCAAGACTAATGTTAAAATGACAACAATAACAATGGCAATTGAAATGATAATGAAAATGGCAATGACAATGATAACTATAATGACCATGACAATGACAATAGGAATGACAATGGTAAATAAATAAAATGACAATTGCCACAACAAATGCAATGGCAATAACAATGACAATAACAATGGTAACCACAATGACCATGACATTGGCAATGGAAATGGCAATAGGAATGGCAATAGCAACGGTAATGGAAAATGACAAAGACAACTGCCACAACACTTGCAATGGCAATGATGATGACAATGACAATGGTAATGGCAACGGCAACAGCAATGGCAGCAGCTACCGGGACGGCCCCGGCACTGGCAACAATGGCAATAGCAATGAAAATGACAATGGCATTATCACAATGGTAATGGTAGTGAATATGACAATGACAATACTAATGGTAGTGACAGTGACAATGGCAATGGAAATGGCAATAGGAATGACAAATGGCAAGGGAAATGGGAATATGACAATGACAATTGCCACAACACTTGTAATGGCAATGATGATGACAATGGCAATGGCAACAGCTACAGGAACAACCATGGCACTGGCAATGACATTGGCAATGACAATGACAATGGTAATGATAGTGACAGTGACAATGGCATTATGACAATGACAATACATATGGCAATTACAGTGGTATTCTGACAATGACAATTCAATGACATTGGCAATGACAATGATAATGCTGATGATTAAGAGTGTGATAGTAACAAAAAGTGATAAACACAATAGGTTATTCCACAAAAAATCCACATCTCCCCAACGAATGGGTTTCTGGAAATTCTCTCGGGAGGGGGGTCAGAGGCTATGGAAATCTAGGCAGAAGGTGGGGAGGGGCTGAACCTAAAAAAGTCTTTTTCAGTGATCATTTCCAACTGAATGTAACCTTCAGCTTTTAGATGTGTGACATGTGACACTTGAGCACTCTCTGAATCTGAAAAAAGTTGAAATATTTCAGTTATATCTTTCTTTCCTGATATACTTCAAGTTACCTACACAGGTTCTTCCATAATCACAGTAAACACGTAAAAAACATGACAAAAAGACAACCATGAAGAAAGCTCACTACAAGCGTGTAACTGCTAGCACTATTTCTATTGTCGTGCCCAGACTCAGTGCACCGCTGAGAGCAACTGTTGACAGAAATAGCCATCATAAGAAAGAGTTTCAAAATCTAAGGCTCTTGTACGGTCTACGTACAGTTGTGTACATCCATAAGAGTAGAACATTTTTCAAATGGTCAGTATGGCTAAAGGCCCTTGGTCGCAATACATAACACACAATTCTCCAATAACCACAAAATAAGACAAGTGACAGTCGCAAATAAGTCTGTGTTTGCAGGCCACAAAATCCTGCATAATACTTAAAAGTTTGCCTAAATATTTAAATAAAACAGCTTTCCTATTGTTCGCAGAGATTCTTACGGACCTTTCGGGCTATTTACCTTTCAAAACGAGTGAGAAATCTCTCAACTATCCGTGATCGAAGTACTCCGGCAAATATTAATGACAAAGCGCACGTCGAATTACATTTCCACGTAATTTGCATAAACTATCAAGTTGTGTTTCTTGCGGATAGCCCCAGGGGGAGACTCCCATACAAAAAGAACGGGGGTGCTCGTCGTACCTTTCAGGGGTTAAAAAAGCCATTTTGGTATCTCTTAGGGTGTGCAGTCTCAAAAGATTCACAGCAGGAGCTTTGACAGTACCCTTTAGGGTATTGAGCCAGGAAAAAAAAACAAGAGATGATGTTTTGTTTAAGAATTGGCAAGTCTTGGGGATGAAAAACATTTCAAGCCACGCCCACAAAGCAGGGTCTTGTTACCTCTTAGGGGTTTTTTTCAAAATTTCCGACGAGCATTCCCATCCTTTTTATGTGGGACGTTTTCGTATATAGCTCGCTTTATCAAGTTCGACGGAATAATTGTAAGCTTAATATTCGCTAAAGCTTTAGAAATTACACAAGAGCATGTTCTGGACATGATTGTGCTTATAATTCTACTGAATATAAATTAAATTTAAGACTCAATTTTTTTTTGGGAAATCCTGGCAGGAGGGAGGTCTTTTGCCTTGGAAATCCTGGCGGGAGAAGGGAGGGGGGTTGAAAAACGTGCCCATCTGTCAGGGGTGTGTGGATTTTTTCTGGAATAACCCAATAACAAAATAATAAACCATAACTGCAAAGGCATGCAGATTAATTCAAATATAAATTATATCATTACTGTATTATAAATTATTTTATACAACGATGAGATACAGTGCCCTCCTACAAAGAATTAACCACTTTTTCCGCTGTGTGTACCAGTTATNCCCCCACAAAAAGCGGATAACTTCTGAGAATTTGTGAGCTTTAATGCAGTTTATGAACGAATATTCAAGCTACATATTTTTATTGAATTTAGGTAGGAATATTGTACAAAGAAACTCACTCATAATGGAAGATACAGCAATCTATTTCGGTTTCATATGCGTCGAGTTCAGTCGTGTCACATAACATGATTTTGTTTAACCGAGTGAGTCAGACACAGTGTGCTGATGCCATTGGCGATTCCTTGGTATTTGAACAACAAGGGAAATAAACTTGGTTAAACTATTGTCAATGCAGAATTTCCTTGCTGTAGCACTTGGCATGAACACTTGAAATTGAAATTTCATTCAAGGAAAGATTGCACAATCCGCAAAATTCCACGCAGTCAATCAAAGTGTTTTCCTGCACAATTTTTTTTCCTACGCCCTGTTAGAAGGTCAACTTGGAGGTAACATATTTAATTGAAATTACTGGAAGTCTTACTGTTTCAAATTTGGAGACACGTTTTGCGCTGTGTAAGAAACAAGTTGCATGTTTTTAATAAGCTACGAGTCCAAAAAACGTTTTCGTATATAGCTCGCTTTATCAAGTTCGACGGAATAATTGTAAGCTTAATATTCGCTAAAGCTTTAGAAATTACACAAGAGCATGTTCTGGACATGATTGTGCTTATAATTCTACTGAATATAAATTAAATTTAAGACTCAATTTTTTTTTGGGAAATCCTGGCAGGAGGGAGGTCTTTTGCCTTGGAAATCCTGGCGGGAGAAGGGAGGGGGGTTGAAAAACGTGCCCATCTGTCAGGGGTGTGTGGATTTTTTCTGGAATAACCCAATAACAAAATAATAAACCATAACTGCAAAGGCATGCAGATTAATTCAAATATAAATTATATCATTACTGTATTATAAATTATTTTATACAACGATGAGATACAGTGCCCTCCTACAAAGAATTAACCACTTTTTCCGCTGTGTGTACCAGTTATTTTGTAATTTCATGTTTTGTGTGCTTCCTGTGCTGGAGCTTCATTAATATAAATGGCTTTGGCTTTTTTATTGTGTTCAAGCAAAGGAGAATGCATCCTAATTTTGGGTTGGTATCCTGTGTTCATGCTGGGTGTGCTGCATAATACAGGCAAAATTGGTTGAGATATTCATAGTGAAAGCAAATTTAGCTCTGCCAAAGATTTTTTCAGGGGCTGAGGCCTCGCTTTCATTATACATTGTAAATGTACCTATACCTCACTTTAACATATGCACTCATATGGAAATTTGTCTGTCGCACTATTGAGAAATCAGGCTGTGCATTTCTGTCTATTTCAAAATTTCTAGCAACTCTTTCAATACTCTAGGGAAGTGAAATTTTCCTGTCTGTCCTTTCAAGTGAGTTGTAAGGTTGCTTAAGTCCTAGGAAGGTGTGTGCGTCAACTGGTGTATAGATCAAACGGTAAATCGGTGTTCTGATGTCAATAATCTCACCTTCAATGCCGTTTTGGTGAATCAAAAGAGGACAAACTGAGCAGTCAGTGTTCTCAGCAGACATTGAGCAACAAGACTATGGCTTGCTGTCACAAAATAAATGTACTCAGTTGTTTAGCTTACTGGCCATTGTGCCACAAAATAAATGTACTGAGTTGTTTAGCTCGGTGGCCATTGTGCCACAAACTAAATGTACTGAGTTGTTAAACGAATTTGCTCAGTGGCCATTGTGTCACATCAGCAGCTTCTAGAAGTGACACTTTTCAGGATAGCCCTACCAACTGGGATTTGCATTTTGACAATTTTGATAAAAAGGCTCTAAAATATATGCACATACTTAGAGTGTCTAAAAGCAATGGTTAGTGTACCAGACCTTCATCTCTTATTGAATTCTTTTATATTTTGGCAGCTGTCACACCATTGCATCACGATATTTGTGACTTCACATTCCACTAATTAAGTTGTAATTTGAAGATTTGTTAACAATAAGATTTTCCAGATCCTTTTGATTTCATATGTATTAAATTATGCAGACTACATCAACTGACTAGCAATGTTGTTTGAAAATAATTTAGTTGTCATTTGAGGACTTGTTAACAATAAGATTTCCCAAATTGATTGTCCTTTCGATTTCATGTATGAGGCATCATGCAAAAACTATGAAGTAACTAGTGATATTGTTTAAAACTTACAAAAAGAGATAAAGTTTTTGTTGCCACTGCTTGGGAATGATTCATTGCATCCGTCATCCCATTTGAACACTTTTCTTTTCGCAAAGATTTTAAAAGACCTCCCTTTGCTCTGTCCCTGAAAGGGAGGACTCACATTTAAAACTGGTGGTGGTGATCATGGGAAATTTGATCTCCCTTTGTGGGTCTGGCATTTTCACTCCAAGAGGTGCCAATTTAACAAAACTACCTTGTCATACTTTTTTCCAGCTCATAGCCTCTGGGCTCAAAGTTTATATTTGGCTTTGGGAGCAGCACTTGTGCAACCAGGTGGCACAGAAGAGTGATGATTCTGAAATTCTACCGACTGGTTTAGGGAAGGGTCTCAGTTTTCAACTATTGCTGCCACATCTACTGAAATACTTATGGAAAATGGAACGTGCTTGTGTCTT